CAGGGTGTGGAAGTTGTTGATGTTTACTAATAAAGTGCCACTGATCACCAGGAAGATCTGTCCATTATTTTGAGTCATCACTGTGTTTGTACCTGGCCGCGATGGATTAAACAAAGGGAGAGAGAGCCTTCTAGTGAGTGATTTTCATCACCAGAGGTTAGACTGTGGTATGAAAACTGCAGTTTCATCACAAGATCAAACCTTTCCTCTGCTGATCAGACTGGACTTCATTTGTGGTTGGTTAATCATTTCTCACCCTAGGATTGGGGTTCATTAGGTATCATTGTAAGCACAAAATACATGCAAAGGACTACAGCAATGGAATTTCTGTACGCGTTGCATGGCTATGGTCTCAACTCAAAACAGATTGATATCGGAATGTAAAATTAGGAAAAGCATTTTTTTTAGCAATCTACTGTTCAGCGGATACCTTGTTTCGACAGCTGTCAATTAACCATGATATGGATGCCCAATATCAAAGATATACCTAAGGTAATGGTGCTACTATCTTATTTGAGAGGTATTGGGCTTGGCGTACGGACGAACGTACGCCGTACGTTGAAGCCCTGATTTTTTTCAGGCTTCTTCTTTCCAGTTGCTTAAATTGGAAAATTTACTGCGATGANGCTTGGCGTACGGACGAACGTACGCCGTACGTTGAAGCCCTGATTTTTTTCAGGCTTCTTCTTTCCAGTTGCTTAAATTGGAAAATTTACTGCGATGATCATACTTCACTTTCTTCTACTGAAGAACACTTGAAATATACTGACGCTTTCGTGACAAAAAGTTAGCTACTCGTCACTTGAAACGGGGCCTCTTAAGACGAGAACGGAGGTGCTTTTTTCAACTTTGTGATTGTTACACAACTGTTACACCACGTATCTCACAAGCTGGCGTCATGACGGAGCTCCTGCGGGCCGAAGGCGCGCGAGTGGAGCCTCATACCAGGGCGCCATACCTTAGAAAATTTGATAACCCATAGATCTAAAAAATTTTGGTTGTCACGTGACTGTCCGTACGTTCGTCCGTACGCCAAGCCCAATACCTCTCAAATAAGATAGTAGCACCATTACCTTAGGTATATCTTTGATATTGGGCATCCATATCATGGTTAATTGACAGCTGTCGAAACAAGGTATCCGCTGAACAGTATCACGTGACCATATCGCGGGATCAGACTCTGGAGGAGAAGGTGGGACTGCGTGCAAAGGGTAAATTTTGGCGCAAGTTAAGGTATCATGGTAGGTGGATTGACAGTGTTTGGACATTGCGCTCTCACGTCGGCGCTTTTGAAGAAAACCCCATCAACCTATACATTTTCTGAAAGCTTTCTTATAGAATCCAATCATAGCTTTGAAATTTTCTAAAAAGTTATTGTCGTAGTGATATTGAAAGAAATACCCAGAAACACTGCTTCGCTTAGACTGGTTCGCTTCCGCGCGTGAATTATCGGAGCGGCGCGATGATACGTCGGGAATGTTTTCCCACAAATCACCCCCAAAAAGGGTGTCGGCGATATTCCAGGTGTTTTGTTTTCCTACACCCTCGTAAAGTTTGATTTTTTCCAATGCGGACGTTTCCTTGTACTAAAGAGGCCATAACTTTGAAACGGAAGCGAAATTAAACAAAGCCCGACATCTTTTTTCGAAGGAGGTATAATGGAACGTACCTGCCCATTTCCAGCCAATTCCGTCGGAAGACGCGCGTAAACGAACTAAAAATGTTGGTCCTTATATGCAGTTTTATTTTATCGAGAAATAGACGAAAAACCTTTTATGAGATTGGTATGATTAGGTGTTAAAAATCCCTCCCCACCGACAGATGTCGGCATGGGTCAGTTTACCACAACAATGGCTTATGACAACTTGAAATAAACAGACGTCTCAGTACACTTCTGGCGCGGAAACCCGTCGCTGTGAAATCGTCCGAGGAGCGAGAAATTACTACGAGCTTTATACAGGTTTGTATTTAAACTGTCGTGATTTCTTTTACTTAGAAGCTTTCGTCGGCGGCATTGGTATTGGTTGCTCAAGTTTAGCATTCTTCGTTCTCCAGACATTTTTTGAAACCATGCCTCGTGAAGCCAAAAAGAGGAAATCTCCAGGTCTACGTCGTCTGCATCTCTGCGCTTGACTATCTCGTTGTGGAAGTTTCGGAATCGCGTCCGTTCTCCAGCAATCTCGTGCGACTAGCACTTGTTGTATTTTGTCCTTCAGCTTCATTGGCGGGACTAGTGTCCTCGAGTTCCTTCAATCATTCTTCTTGGTTACACTTACAGTGTGACCCAGGGTCGCTCAGAGCTAAAGATCTTGTTCGACGCTGAACCTGTGGGTTCCACCAGATTTTCGCTTCTTCGGCTTCTTCGAAGACGAAAATGGGCAAGAAGTTTTCTTGCGTTTTCGTCCTGACATAAAGAAAATTTGACAAGAACGAAAGCTAACTTCAGATCGAGAACAGTTCGCGTGCAAAAATGAAATATCACACCACAATTCGCATCACACGTGACAACTGGCGGTGAATTTTAATAAGAGGTGTCAACGCGTCGTAAGGGGTTAATGAGATTCAAATTATTTTTTCTCTTTATCTTAAAAAGTAAAAAAAGCTTTTTGCCCATTCTGTTTTAAAATATTTATCTCAGTCTTCTCAATTTGAACAGCCAAAAAAAGAAATAAAATGATAATAATAATAACAACAACAACAACAATAAGAATAAGAATAAGAATAAGAATAAGAATAAGAATAAGAATAAGAATAAGAATAAGAATAAGAATAAGAATAAGAATAAGAATAAGAATAATAATAATAATAATGATAATAATAATAATAAAAGATTTTCGCATTTTTCGTAAAAATCCACCTACCATGATACCTTAGCCCCTGGCGCGTTGTTGACTTTTCTGCCGACATATTCCTTGCATAATCATCTCTTAGAAAGTCCGTGATATATTGCGTACGTAATTTCTACAATCTTGGAAAAATTGGTTACGCTTCTTGGGTATAGTTTGTTAAAATTTAACTGGAAAAAATTGCGAAACCACACGCTGAACTATTACACGCTAGCAATTGATCCTTTTTATTTGAGTTTCTAATTTTTTTCCAGTATCAACCAAGAGCTCCGCTTTTAGGCTTGGCTAAATCTGTCATTGGGAGACAAGAGAAAGCCTGAGAACGAAGTTGATATGATATCCTCGTGATTTGCAAAGCGCGGGAAGACTGAAACTGGCTTAAAGCAATGTTCACGAACGATCGACTAATGGAGTCATATGACTTAAATGTGAGGTACTTGCAATCGCTGTTTTTCGCCAAATGAATACACTTTCATTCTTTCAAAGATGTCTTTCCTCTTCATATCGGAGGAAATGACATTGGCCCAACTTTTTCTTCAAGCTGAGGCAGCTTATTCTTGTGTCAGCGAGCTCGGAGAGCTGGTAAACAAAATTCTTCTGTTCGAAAACGACTTGGAAACCAGTTGCAATCGCTGTTATATTTGACACTGAACCAATGTTTTGCCTTCTCTTTCCTTTTTCTGTTAGGATCTTGTGCAATTTCGTGATGTAAGTATTGCATTTTTCGTCTTTCCGTATTTCTTTCTTAGTCGACTTGAATTCTGAAGCTTCAGCTTAAGCTTACATGTAGCTCTTATGAACCGAGCAGGAGGTCTACAGGTATGGGAGAATCTTGCCCGAAGACCGTCTGTACACACGACCGAGGTCAAGATTCTCCCATACAGACTGAATAAGCTCGGTTAGTAAGATGTTTATTATATGGCAAACAAGAACAATTTCATTCGTTTAATGAAACTGGTTTGTACTGTTTGTCGTTCGGTAACACATTCAAAACTGAATTTATTAAGTTGCTGCAAGTAATAAATACATGCTATCTGGATACGTGCGTGACAATGTTGTATAGTGCAATTAAGGTGCAAGTGCATAATTATGATTAAAACATACAAAGGTGCAAGCGAATGTGCATAGTGTAACAGTACTAGCTGACATTTTGCTTGCGAACGGCGATGAGCTGAAAATAATTGTGCCAAAGTTTGCTCGTCTTCTTTACTTTTTTTCTCATCAGGCTTTTTGGCACTTCCATAAATAAATATATTTAGAAGAAAATAGCCAATATTTTTTTATTTTAGCTTGCAATTGGGAAAATCAAGATCGCTTACAATATCTATTTCAGCCAATCAAATTCGTGAATTCGGTAGTTCCCAGTCCTTGTGAGACACAGCCATATAATAATTAATATGGTTATACCTCCCAGCTCAAATACGTTTTTCGATTGGAGGAGAACGTGTCACGTGTCGTGGGTCAAAACTCACTAACTCCCTAGGGCGAACAAAACTCACTAACTCCCTTGGGAAACAACAACTTGAACTTTCCACTCACATCTGATCAGGTCGTGCTCCTTGAAGCCACGGCAAATTTGTGAGCCAGCCGATGTCAAGCAAACGATTTCTTTGCATTTTCCTATTTTTGAGTTGGGGAGGTATATAACAAAACACTTAATGACTGGTCCCGCGGGAAACAGTGAGTTTTGTTTCCCCTCGACCTCGATGTTCCCCGAGGCAAACATTGAGGGTCTCGAGAAAACAAAACTTGCTGTTTCCCTTGGGGCCAATCATTAAGTGCTCAATGACAATAACAGGGCTGGACACTAACGGTAGCCAACTAGCCACAGACTAGTAGAAATTTAGTTTTAGCTTGTAGGTTTTCAATTTCCACTAGCCACTTTGGCCAGTCAACAAAATGAAATTGGCTGAACTAGTTTCTGTCTCCTTCAAGGAAGAAAAACATGAAATTTACACTTTTCTCAGAAACAAGGTCAGAATTTCATTGTGGACATATCATGGTACTGGGCATGTGCTGTTACGTTCAGCATGTATGCAAATTTAAGTTTGTCTACTTTTCACTGGGTGGTACGTAAACAGGGAACTGAACATGTTACTTTTGTTGAAAGAAATATTTGAGAAACAAGACAGCATTTTCTGAAAGCACATATCAATGCTCTTTTTTGTTACAAAATTTTTTTCACGCGCAAAATAGTGCGGAACTGTAAAGGGATAACATTTCATTTGGTGCCACCATTTAGCGTAACAATACATGGGTGATAAAATTTGTCATTGTATGCATACTTACAAACTTACCACTACAGAAATAATTAGATGCGAAAGATTTATTTCCTTCGACATTTAAACCAGCCGTTTTTATTAGTCGAATTTTGCCAATGACAGTTTACAGTATTGTTCAGATAGTTGTTTTGCTTTTGAAACATTTCTATGGCATCTGTCTGCGAAGAAGTCTCAACAGTTTAAATTACACTGACATCCTGGGGGTCTCAATACTGTATTTTTTCAAGGAAGTTTCAGGGAAAAACAGAGTCCTGAAAGTCTTTTCGGGAACTGGAACGTTTTTGAAACTAGTTTAAGTACAGTATAATTACCAATGTTATGTATTAAAGAGAGTCGCTTCCATTGTGCTTTCAAGTCTTGCTAGTAATTCTGTTGTTATTGGACCTACCTGAAATTTTCACGTGCATTAATTTTGTGAATTTCGTGATTTAGAAAAAATCACGAAACTAAAGTGACGTGAATTAGTCAGTGTCGGGAACATAACACATTATGTTACTGTTGACATAAAGTCCTGCCATTGTGTTTTTGTTACTTTTGACGTTATTGTACCTTTGATAAAGTTAGTTTACTAAATTCAAAGACATGTTTAAGTAACATTGCTAGGGAAATAAATTTTGTGTTACTCAAAAATGCGAAGTCAAAGTGATTCAAAATACAAAATTTTAGCATAATCGCAAAATAAACGTGTCGTGAAAATTTCATGTAATAAGGTAGCCAACCACAACGCTTGGCTAGTTAAAAAAGGTTTTGGCTAGTAACGTCTAAGTTATCACTAGCCACTAGGCTAGTACAACTGTAAGTTGAAAAGTTAGTGTCGAACCCTGAATAACAATAACAATAACAATAAAAAACAACAACAACAATAACAATAAAAATAAATAATAATGATAATATTACTAATAGTAATAAATATTATTATGTGGCTGTGTCTCACAAGGACTGGGAACTACCAAATTCACGAATTTGATTGGCTGAAATCGATATTGACCGCAGTCTAGATTTTCCCATCTNTTTCCCATCTAGACCGGCATCTAGACCGGTTTCATTTTGCGTTGAAAAAGTAGCAAACTAAAATACAAAAATGTTCACCGTTTTCTTTTGTTTTCTTCTAAATCATTTCTGGAAGTGCCAAAAAGCCTGATGACAAAAAAAAAAAAAACAAAAAGTAAAGAGGACGTGCAAATTTCAGCAGGTTTAAGTTAAGCCCATCTCCATTTGCAAGCAAACCAGTTCTATTCAACGAATTAAAGTTTTCTTCTTTGCCATATATAATAAACATCTTAATAACCGAGCTAAGTCGGTCTGTATGGGAGAATCTTGACCTCGGTCGTGTGTACAGACCTCACTGCGTTCGGTTGGCACTCACAACCTCGGTCAAGATTCTCCAATACAGACCTCCTGCTCGGTTAATAAGAGCTAAATAATGAAATGAATTTTTAAACAGAATAAACTTATCAGTACAAGTTGAATGTTATCAAAGGGGTCCTGTAAAACTTAAAAAGTAAAAATAAATCTAACAAATTACATAAAAAAAACTACATTAGTAAAAAGTACATATAGAAATTGCATTTAAAAATTACCTAATAGATAGAAACTACAAATAAAGTAGCAGTTCATTTTTCTAACCTCTAATGGCAAACTATAATGTTATAAATTGTTAAACACCTAAAAAGGAAAAACTTTTTTTGGCCAAACTCCAGTGTCATTTTGGTGGTTCAACTGATGAAAGTCTGTTCCTTGTGTTGAAATTGTGATTTTTCCTCGCAAAATAATTTTTAAAAGTACATATAATGCCACGTAGGAAGTCAAAAACAAAAAACTTATTACATACTCCTGTCTCCTCCAAACAATGGAGCTTAAGCCTATGCTCTGAAACCTGCCATTGTGCTAGCATTTATTGTTTGAACAATCTGGGAATAAATTAGTAAAACAGTGAAATTTCTGACTTGAAAGCTAACACCGTTGTTACTGTGAATTGAAACTGTATAAATAGTAAATATGACTTATTTTCCTTCACCAGCTGAATCCAGGCGTGAATGCCTTTCAGCGCAAATTTGTAAAAGAAGTTAGACGATGCGAGGAGATGGAGAGAAAATTAAGTAAGCTTATTGAAAAGCATGAGATGCAATTTGGTGAAAGAGTATAAAGCATGTTGTTAGCTTAAAAACTATCCTGACAGAAAAGATTTCAAGAGAATTCAACATCTCTCTCCTTAGTTTATAACTTAAGAGAATGTTCAGGGTAGGTTCAAAACGTAGACCTCCCCCCTCATCTGGACTCCCTTTCTGGATCCCATCTGCACCCCTTCTGGACTCCACTCTTGACCCCCCCTCCCCCTCCCCCTCCCCTCACGCCTGGACCCCAGCAGGGAAATTTTATGCTGGGAATGGTTGCCCTGCAGGGAATAGTGATACTCTTAGTGTTCAGTTAGTGTATGGTTTGACCTCTGGAGCAGATTACTAGTTGTTGGTATGTATATGTAAATACTGAACTACTATGAGCCTGGCCATATTGGAGGAATATTGGTGGAGTTCTTTTTATTTCAGATTTATACATGTAGACTAAGCCACAGCTGAGCTAGGTCGATACACCTGCAAAATTTAAAGAATGAGACCAATATTTTCCAATACGGACTTCAAGTAAGTAAGTATTTATTATATAATGGCCCTTTTTAATCTGCCACTAAATTGACGTGTCTCCACGATCCATTCTCAGTAAACGTGTGTGAAAGGTAAGCATTTACACTGTATTTACGTTTTTCACATTGCCTTAGTGAACATTAATTTTTTAACTGAAATTGTCCTCCAAACATGAAGGTAAATTAAAAGATCCCTCCCTAGCAAAAATTTTTTTATTTTGCACAAATTATGAATTGAAAAAGAATTGAAAAAGCAATTTGCTGAAATTGATTCATGAGTTCAAAATTAAACTGGTTTAACTGACCAATCAGTTTCAATGGACCACACTTGTGACGTCATCGACTGACAAACATTTTTTGCTTGACTCTGAAGATTGTCTCCACTCACACAGGGTATTGAAATGTCAGGCACCAACAGCATTTTTTTTCCCAGAACATGACGCGACCCTAACTCAAACAATCACGCTATTCGTGAAACTCTTTTAAAAGTAGTCTGTAAGTTTCTATGTGTGTGTACAATGTCCTGATATACGATACTTTTTATTTTGATAGGGTTTCTAGACAAGGAAATTGAGAAGGCTGATATTTATGTTAACAGCACTAGCTCAGTTCTTGATAATGCGGGTGGAGCAGAGGGTGACTCATTTTGCCATTAAACCATACAGAGTATGTAGATATGAAGCAATAGTGTCGGTAGCTCCAATATTTTGTTAATCACTTCAGGTATGATTGCAGACTTACAGCTGTACATTTGACTGGACAGAAATCAGTCCTAACATCATGGTTATAAAGTATGCAGTATGTTTACATTAATTATATTCCCAGGTGGTTTTGTCTTTTAGGCTGAGTTTGAGCAGCTTGAAAGTGAAATGAAAGACATTAATATGAATTATGAAGCACTCATGACAAGAGTTTTGGAGCTGAATGAACTCAAACATATCCTGAGCAAGACAAATATTTTCTTTGAGGAGGTAAACTCAACCTTGACTAGATAACTCTAGTATTTATCATGCATACTGCAGTTATTATGGCTGATTGAAGGTATTCTGTCAGTATTACCAAACTCAATGTAACATTCTTCAAATGTCAGTACCTTCAAAGTTGAATTTGATTTGTTACCTACTAAATGTTTTCCACTGTACATGAACAAGAGCTAAAAATTTTAATTAAGCATTGACACTTTTCTCCTTTCAACCAGATTAGATTTCTTATCAGTTTTTTTTACTAGCTTTTGGGTTGCCCCTCTCATGGGATACTTTTCCTGTTCACACAATCCCTTTTGGTCTTTTCATTTCTACTATTGATTTACTATATAATTATGTAACTATATTAACTAACTTATGAGACCTGAATAAAGTTGATAGACCAAGACTTGTAAAAAGCCTGTGTCAGGCCATGCCAAGTGGTCCAATTACCCCCAGAGCTTATCCTGGTTTCCATAAAATTGGCGTGAAATACCTAGGAGTATTTCTACTCCCCCTAGTCCATTGTGGGGTTACCCCCAGCATTAAATTCCCTGGTACCCATTTACATTACACCTGGGTGGAGAGAGTTACTGTTATCCTCTGAGCAAGCCCTTCTTTCTATTCCCACGTGGAGCCTGCTAACAGGCTAAGGTACTGTGAAAGTAAAATATCTTGGCAGCACAAGAACACAATGCAGGGACCCCACCCAGGGCTTGAACCCAGACCACTCAACTCAGAGTCCCGGTGACGCACTTAACATTTTAGGTCACATGCAGCTTCTCCCATTAACATGATATGACCACCTTACTTTCTATTACAGTCATTTTTTGTTCCTTTTCACACTTAAATTATTCAATGAAATGTAAGACATAATAATAATATGTCTGAATTTCATTGAATAATTTAATTAATTTATGTTATAAGTGCCTCATCTACATTAGAAATGTTAAGGCCTCACCTTAAGGTAGCCTTAAAATGTGTGTTGTTACGCCGTGCATAGGTTTTCATTTGGTAACTTTGATTAGGCGGAACTACTTGTACATATACATGAGCATAATCAGCAACAGATCTATGAGCCACCAGGAGCTGATGATATGGAGCTGCAGCTCTTAGGAGATGAGCCAAGACTAGGGTGTGTTTTTAAGATTGTTACAAGTTTCACCTCTTAGAAGATATTAAAAGTGACCCAAATTCCCTGAATGTTGGTCATAGACAGATTCGAGTGAATGATTATTCACAGACTTGAAAGTTACAATTGTGTAGACTTGCACATTGTTAAAAACGGATAATTTAATAAAATAATATAAATGTGAAATGCCTTTCATATAAAATGGTTTAAAAAGGTGTCAGAGAAAACAATTTACGCCTGTCAGGCAGTTCATTTCAGAAAAGAATTTTAATGTACTAAAATAAATTTGCATTCACATTTACCAACATGTGGATGACTGACATTACATGGCAAGTTTTATTTATTAGTATTTATTTATTTAGTTCATCATCTTTTATTATAAATAATTTATTAATTTAAATATCTGTAAAATTACTTAGTAACAGTCTTTTCTACATATATATGCTCCTCGTAGATTTGTGACAGGAGTGATCATTCGTGAACGAGTGCCTTCATTTGAGCGTCTTCTGTGGCGTGCCTGTCGTGGTAATGTGTTCTTTAAGCAGGCAGAGATTGAGACTCCACTTGAAGACCCAAGTACCGGTGACCACGTCAATAAGTGTGTCTTCATTATTTTCTTTCAAGGCGATCAGCTCAAAAGCATAGTAATGAAGATTTGTGAGAGGTAAGTAAAAGAGTTTTATTTTATTTTTGTTTACCTCAGTGATGGTACATGTATCTGAGTTATTTTGATTTAAGATTTCAGGATTTTATATTTGGATTTTGATTTCTGGGCAAATGCGTTCCTTAGCAATCAGTTGGAAAACGTATTCCAGCTTTGACTCATGGATAAATACAAATTATCTCTGTTTGTGGTTTGGTTTCTGAACATGATGTCTTGAGCTTAATTTGTTAATTCTAATGGCTTTACATTGACCACCCTGTGTACTGTATGCATACATGTAATTTTCAAAATCTCACCCTTGAATAAGAGCTGCTGTCATGACAGCTAAGCATTGCACTCAACAAAAGTGCCACAATCCTAAACATTTGATTTGTACATATTCAAAATAACTTGAGCTCTAAACTGCTTCTACAAAACTGGTGCTTATACAAAGACTCTTGACTATTTTCCTAACATACAGTTAATTATGTCTTATATGGAAAAAAGTGAAAAAAAATGGTGAGTTTTTAGTATGAGCTGTCCTCAAATTTATTGTAAGTGATCAGAAGCCCCCAAAATGAGTATGACATCAACCTTTGAGAAATTTGATAATTAAGGTGCAGCAGTGCTTTTTGAAATAAATATATGCAGTAGTTGCCAATCATGAAATGTTAAAAAAGAAGACTGCTACGGATCATGCTACCTATTTCTTTTTCAGATATCGGGCTGTACTTTATCCCTGTCCAGACACTGCTGCAGAAAGGCAGGAAATGGCCATTGGAGTAAATACAAGGATTGAGAATATTCAAACAGTGAGTGCTTTGTTCTAGATTTAAGCCTTGTCACTCAAGACCTGCACTTGAATAGTAGCTGTAGGTAAAAGGTAATTAAAAGTCTTTATATGAGCCAAGTGGCCTATCAGGACCTCATCAGGCCGGTGCTTATTCCGGTTTCAGTAGTATGAAACAAATGAGAGTAATTCTTCCCCTGGATGGGATACTCCATTGCAGAGTTTTCCCAGCATGAGGTTCACGGGTACCCATTAAATATACACCTGGGTGCAGAGAGGCATTGTGAGAGTGAAGTGTCAGTTGCGAAAGAACACTAAGCACTATTATTAATGACTGGTCCTAGGGGAAACAGTGAATTTTGTTTCTAGCTGAGACCTTCAGTGTTCCCCGAGGCGAGGTTATTTGAGTTGGGAGGTATAACAAAATAAAATGTCCCTGGCCAGGCCTCGAACCCAGACTACTCGATCCAGAGGCGAGTGCACTAATCATGAGGCTACCACACCTCCGCACAGAGTAGCTTAGCAGTGTTTTATTGTGCACACAGAAAAGCACATCGAATGGGGTATTCTACCACTGTGCAATTGAAAGGATTTAAATATTAAATTGAATATTGATTTAATAATTATTTTCTCTGTTGATTATTTTTAATTTTCTTAGGTATTGAACGAGACATGTGACCATCGTCAGCAGTTGTTGGTGACTGTAGCCAAGAACATTAAACAGTGGTTCATAAAGGTAACAAAATTCAATGATCTGGATATTCAGATATTGAAAGCAAACCAGAAGAGATTGCAAATTGGCAGGCATTGAGAGGTAAAATACAGTCAACTCTCTACTAACTGACAGCTTTCCAATGACGATTCCTCCCCTGAGTGGCTGCATGCTCTTCTAAAGTGGATCAACCCTCCCTGCATGCATATGTAACACCCTGGGGCCAAACAGCCTTAAAAATGGTCATTTAGGGCAAGTTTGTGCTCTTTGCACATTTTACCAAACTTTGCACACTGCCTTGGATCGTTGTCTTGATCATTTCAAGTGTAACAAAATGTCAAAATGTCATATTGTGATGACATATTTGATGAGATCACAATTAAACACGTTATACAAATTTTCTAATTTCAAACCACCAATACATCATTTAAAAGAGCATGACTAGGGGACTATTATACTGAAAACCGTTCCTCACTATGACAAATATTTCTCGAGTTATAGCAATTTAAAGAAATTTCAGTGTCCCCCAGAACCATACTGTTCTTCTAAAATCAACCCCCTTGATTTTTTTTCTTCAGTTTTCTTTGATGAGCATTGAGAATTTGGTAATATAGAGTACTTAGTGCTGCTAAAAATCATATCATCTTAGATTTTTTAGTCTTGGCTTCTTAAACAAGTTTTTGCTGTTTGAATAATTGATGACGTCACTTCTAATGACGTCACAAATACGTTTTGAGGTGCTTAGAAGAGCAGGAAAAACATTGATGGCGATTTTTTCGGATTACATGTGTTCTACTTGTGTAGTACAGTAAATATGAGATTGGTAACAGGAAAACACAGTCACCTTCAATTTGAAAATATTTATCGAGGGGCAGTCACTGTTTTTGGGCTGAGCATCCGTTAAAATTTAAAATGTCATATCTCCTTTAATTTTTGAGATATGGACAAGTGGTTTTCAGCTTTTAACTACTCTTGCTGTGCTCTTTCTAAAGAAGTACAAAAAAAAGTTGGAATTTAAAAACTTTTAATCAAGGTTATGGAATGACATCATTAACAGTGACTTCATCATTTGATATTTGCTGTCAATTTTGTTGTCAAAAAAAATGGACATTTGTCCTCTATTCACTTGCCAAGTTTCGCGACGAGATATTTACTACACTTGAGGTTATACTGAAATAACCAAAATTTGCGACACCTTAATGACTGTTTTCAGGGCGGTTTGGCTCCAGCGTGAATTGAAACAAAATAATGACACAACTGTTTAGTTGTGGAATCAGCTTATCAACAGACTTCTCCTTCGTGGATTGACTTTGTCACAGTCCCAGTAATTACACGTGATTGAATGCTTTCTATTATAGTCGATATAAGTGCATCTACTTGTAGATCAGGCATTGGTGAATGGTCCTTCAAAAACCATCTCCCAAAACTGAAAAGTTTGGTCTAATTTCACAGGTCTAACAGTCTCAATTTTTTTCACAAATCTGTCATATGGAGTCTTGATTTTTTGCAAGGCTAAGAAAACCTCAAAGTCCTAATTTGTTTGTTTGGTTTTATAAATGATGTCTGAAGGTCTTAGAGTGTGAACGTCTCGTGGTCGCATTTAAAAAAAGCTTTGAAGTCTCAGTCCCACAATTTAAGAAGTCAGAATGTCTCAGGCTAACAAAGAAAAATGCTGCCTATAACCCTGTTGTTGTTATGAAAGTCAACATGTGACGGTTGCCATTTGATCAAACTTTAATGAATGCACAGCTCTTCACAGGAATAGTTCAATAGGCTTAACCCATTGGTGGTAGTGATTTTCTTTTGTTACTGAAACAATCGTTTTTTGTTTAAATTTGCATTTAAAACTTTTTCTATTATTCCTTTACTTTATGTGAACGTTACACTACCGTCAGAGATTATAGTACAACTACGTACATGACTTGAACAGAACATGACTTCTTTTACTATATATTAAGGTAAAAAAGATCAAGGCCATTTATCACACCATGAACATGTTCAACCTGGATGTGACTCAGAAATGTCTTATTGCTGAGTGTTGGTGTCCAGTTAGTGACTTGGATAAGGTTCAGCAGGCACTGCGGCATGGCACAGAGCGCAGTGGTGCTGCTATACCATCCATTCTGAATCGCATGTCAGCCCATCAAGAGCCACCAACCTTTAACAGGACGAACAAGTTTACTCAGGGGTTTCAAGCCATTGTGGATGCCTATGGAGTGGCCAAATACCAAGAAGTTAATCCAGGTATTTTGCATTGTTTGTTATTCTTTCATCTGCATGAATTGCATGTACCAGCCGAAATCATTATCTCCATGGGCATCTACATTTTACCAGTATTTTCTTTTTCACTCTTTGGTAACAGGAATAAAAGTGCATCCTAATAAGCCTTTCAAATAGTACTTCAAAGTTTGGCCATCATTTTTCTCCATCTTACCCAAACTATATGCCATGGTTTTTGCGAAAAGAATCTGAAATAATGGTGTCAACTGACATGTTCATTTGCTGATAATGTCCTTTATTCAAATTGAAATCCTAAAGGTCAACATGTGTATATATTGTATACAAGTATTTAAAACTAACCTGAAATTGTTGACTTTTCTTCACACCAGCTCTGTTTACCATCATCACTTTTCCATTCCTGTTTGCGGTCATGTTTGGTGACTGTGGTCATGGGTTAATCATGTTTCTGTTTGCATTGTGGTTGGTGCTTAAAGAAAAGAAACTGGAGAATTACAAAGGAGGAGAGGTAATTATGGTTGCATACCTTGACCTCAAGAGAACAATGCAATTTTTAAATGTAGATTAAGCCTGAATTCAAAAACAAATTTATACCACAACATGCATATATTGACTGCTGCTAAAATTAATGAACTTGAAGAGAAGCCAAATGCAGTTTCATAGATTATTACAGACTGGCCTACCTAGACTAGCACTTAGCTATTCACAAGCCAGGCCAATTGTAACATTGTAAGCTTACAGATGAAAATAAGATTGTTGTTGTTGTAAGCTAGTTGTTGTTGCAGTACACTTCAACATAGCTGTAAACGTGTGATGGCTGGTTTTCAATATTTGTGCACCCAACAGGCTGAATTATTAGATTGCCTTTAAGTTGACAGTCTACAAATTTCAATCAGTTTGCCTGTTCAGATACAAGCATTTCTGCATGTTTATAGCATTCTCAAAATTTCAATGAATGTGCTAAAACATAAACTAAATCTAAATTAAGATAAAAATGTGTAATTTTGCTTATAATTGTTTTTCATTGCATGTATAATTTTTTGTACAATTTTCTGTTATTGCTACTATATTATATAAAATTGAGATCCAAAAATATTTACTATTTCTCACATGTCAGATGTTTGAGACCGTATTTGCTGGCCGCTATATAATTCTGTTGATGGGACTGTTTTCAATCTATACTGGCCTTATATACAATGACTGCTTTTCAAAGTCATTCAACATCTTTGGCACTGCATGGGATCTTAGTGTAGATTGGGATGGCATCAGGTATGTTCAAATTTATAAATAATTTACCACATTTTCTTCATTTACCACCCCTGGCGTCCATTTCAAACTTGCTGTTGGAGACCCGCGTTTATTGATGCTTGTTCATATTTGAACCTGATATTTAGCACTTTACATGTGCCTTAAACTTCCTGCCCAGCTTATTGCTCCTTGCAGAATATATAATGCTTGAGGAGCTAATATTGGAAACGCTGCATGTTATGGAAAAAAATATGGTAATGTGCTAGTTGTAAGCAATGACGGGCTTAAGTCCTCAAGACTTTAAATTATTTTTTAGTTTGAGTGACTTTTAAAATTACAATTGTTCTTTAGTAAAAAGACCCTTGACTCGCATGGTAATACATCCAAAATAATCATGGTCGACCCAAATAAGACCTACCGTGGAATTCCTTACTTCTTTGGTATTGATCCGGTAAGTTCCTGTGTTATGCTTCATGTACATGATTATTATTATGGAAGATGATGTCAGTCTAATACACAGACTGTGGACTGCAGACCATGTCGATGACCATGACTTTAAGTGAATATAAGACACAGACTGCGGTATATATAATAACGTGGGCTATACCAGAAAAACAGATTATGGACTGGGTACAGACAACAAAAAATACCTAGGTATTAAATGTGGACCAAAGATTACTTACAGACTGCATGCATGTGTAAATGCAGAGTTAGTAAAACCAGGCAACCTGAGATGTACAGTGTATTCTAACACAGGTTGCTTCAGTACAGATCAAGGGAGACTGGAAATTCACAGTGAAAACATGCTGATCTTGTAGATAATCTGATCTTATTAGAGACTAGATACACTATATAATCTAGGCAAGATTTGTGGAATCTTATAAGCTTAAGCAGCACTGAAATGTATTAGGAGAAAAACAGAGGACACTTGGTTTGTTAATTTCTTGTTTAGAATTATGCTGACCAC